GGGCGCCAAGCTCTATGGGGCCCCTATCCGCACACGGACTTGCCCAGCGGGGCCCCCCGGGGGCCCCTGGGGGGCCCCTCAAGGGGGGGGAAGTGGGAAGTGGAGGGGGGAGAGGAACCCCGGCGTCAGTGGAGTTTAAAAATGTTGAATTTGCGTATGAGGTGGGGGCGGCAGGGGAGGGGGGCCCCCAGGGCCAAGGGGGGGGGGCCCCCAACAGCCCCCTGGTAAGAGGAGAGAGAGGAGGAGTGCGGCTGTGCAGCAACGAAGAAGATGCTGCTTTTGCTGCTGGTTGAGGCTGCTGTTGCTGCTCCTGCTGCTGCTGCTGCATGCTGCCTGTTGCCCTTGCTGCTGCTGCTCGCTGCTGCTGCTGCTGCTGCTGCTGGGGCGAAGCGGATTGAGTTCTTGCTGCATCGAGAGACGGACAAAGGGAGCATGTGCACCGATTAAGTAGAGACGCATTCCTGCTGCTGCTGCTGCTGCTGCTGCTTCTGCTGCTGCTGCTGCTGCTGCTGCTGCTTCTGCTGCTGCTGCAGATACTGAAGGGGTTCTCGCTGCGCGTGCCACCAGGAGAAGTGCTGGCCCTCGTCGGCCCCTCAGGCGCCGGCAAGTCCACAATAGTGAAACTCGCCCAGCGGTTCTATGACCCCCAGGTGACGCAGCAGCAGCAGCAGGAGCAGCAGCAGCAGTAGCAGCAGCAGCATTAGCAGCAGCAGCAGTAGCAGCAGCAGCAGTAGCAGCAGCAGCAGCAGTAGCAGCAGCAGCTGTGACAGTAGCAGCAGCAGCAGTAGCGGCAACAGTATTGGTAGCAGTAGCAGCACTAGCATCAACAGGAACAGCAATAGCAACAGCAACAGCGTTAGCAGCAGCAGCAGCAGCAGTGTTAGCAGCAGCAGCAGCAGCAGCAGCAGCAGCAACAGGGTTGTTTGTCTGCAGAGCGGTGCGGTGTACATGGATGGAAAGGACCTGCGTGAGTCGGACTTGCTGCTGCTGCGGCAGCAGATAGCATACGTCGAGCAGGAGCCGCTGCTGTTCAGGCGCAGCATCGCCGACAACATCGCCTATGGCCTGAGGCCGCTGCAGCACACCAGCGACGCCTGGATTGCGCAGACCACGAGGGCACGTAACCACCAGCAGCAGCAGCAGCAGCAGCAGCAGCAGCAGCAGCAGCAGGTGCAGCACACGAGCGATGAGAGCGGCTCGTATGAGGCAGAGTTGGCCCGGGCGCTGAGTCACCCGCAGGCTGCACACTGGCCTCCTGGTCTGCTGCAGCGAGTTGTTGCTGCAGCAGCAGCAGCAAACGCGCTGCCTTTCATCGCGCGGCTGCCTGATGGAGTATTCACTATCTGCGGTGATGGGGCTGTCCGTCTGTCAGGCGGACAGAAGCAGAGAATTGCTGTGGCGAGGTGGGACCCCACGACAGCTAGCTAGCTAGCTAGCTAGCTAGCTAGCTAGCTAGCTAGCTAGCTAGCTAGCTAACTAGCCAGTCAGATAGCTAGATAGCTGGCTAACCAGCTAGCCAGTTAGCCAGCTAGCTAGCTAGCTGGCTAGCCACATAGATGCCTGGGCTGCTAGGCCGGTAACCCAAAGAAGCACTAAAGCGTAAACCCTAGACCATAAACCCTAAGAAACTCTAAACCCTAAACCCTAAACCCTAAACCCTAGCTGTTTGTGTATATTGCCTTTGCTTTGCTGCAGAGCGTTGCTGCGAGAGCCCCGGCTGCTAATACTCGATGAGGCGTCGAGCTGCCTCGATGCAGAGAGCGAGGCGGCGCTGGCGGAGACACTGAGGAGGCTGAAGGGGAAAACCACCGTCATCACCATCGCCCACAAACCCTCCGTGAGAGAAATAGGGTTTAGGGTTTAGGGTTTGTTAGGGTTTACACGCTGGGGTTTAGGGTTTAGGGTTTACAGTTCGGGTTTTTGCTGTGGGGCGCTCATGCGTCGAAACAAGGGCTTAGGGTTCCATTCTTCCTTCTGTTTTCTCGCCTGCTAGGGTTTAGGGTTTAGGGTTTAGGGTTTAGGGTTTAGGCTTTGTGTGTGGTGCAGAGCCTGAGAGAGGCAGACCGCGTCGCCGTCATAGAAGACGGGCGCGTGGTGGAGGAGGGCAGGCGGGCGGAGCTGCTGCACTCAGCCAACTCAAAGTACAGGCAGCTGCAGCTGGACGGGGCTCTCGCATAAACCCCAAACCCTAAACCCTAAACCCTAAACCCTAAACCCTTGATAAAGGGCAGCGCAATGCACTCCGCTGCTCAAGGAGACCAGTAGAGATACCGTCTCCGTTGCGCAGCAGCAGCGTTGCTGCAGCAGCAGCGTTGCTGCAGCAGCAGCGTCGCTGCAGCAGCAGCGTTGCTGCAGCAGCAGGGTTGCTGCAGCAGCAGCGTTGCTGCAGCAGCAGGGTTGCTGCAGCAGCAGGGTTGCTGCAGCTGCTGCAGCAGAAGCAGTAACCCTCCTATCGCACCCACATGGCAGACAGAATGGGTGGAGCTGCAGCACAGCTGCAGCAGCAGCAGTGCTGCTGCTGTAGGTTTGTGTTGCAGTGTCTCTACAGCTTAGATTGCTGCGTACCCTGCAGGGCAGTTACGGGAGCCCGAGGGTCAGCAACAGCAGCAGCAACTGTAGCAGCAGCTGCAGCAGCAGCAGCAACTGCAGCTGCAGCAGCAGCAGACTGCTG